TTTGTCTTCCTATTATTCAGCCCTTACTTCCGTATGGAAAGAATTGGATCATTATCAGGCTATAGAGTGGAAACATGATGACGATGCTAAGGCCTACAGGAAGCTGGTTTCTCAGCAGTGTGTGTTTGCCTTCTTGTTGGGACTGAACCCTGCATATGAACCCTCGAGAGTTCAGATCTTAGGAAGCAAAGAGTTGTCGTCGGTTCACGAGGTATATGCTATTGTTCAATCGGAAGAAAGTAGGCGGAGTGTGATGGTTACAACTGAGGGGGAGCAAAAAGTTGCTTTGGCTGCAATGAGTTATAACAACATGGGGAAGAAAAGTGACACCAAGAAGGCTGATGATAAAGACAAGTTGTTTTGTACCCACTGTCGGCGCTCACGGCATACACGTGACACATGTTGGGACATTCACGAGAAACCCATGTGGGTAGTGAAGAACAAAGAATAGGGTAAAGGGCAAGGTCAGAAGAAGATGAATACAGCACATAATGCAGCACGTGGCAACCCAAGATACTCAGGTTGTCGGTACTACCCATGACCACCTTACTAATTCTGACCCGAAGGAAGATATATTGAATTCCTTCAGAGACCACTTGGAGTCATATGGTAGGGCTTTGCGACAGATGGATAGTTCAATCACTGGTACTCCTACTTCATTTGCACCTACATCAGGTAATGCGGCTTTTGCATTCCATGTCACTACTACCACTGGTTCCCCTTGGATCATTGACTCAGGGGCCTCTAACCACATGACCGGTAAGCCGAACTTGTTTCAGACTTATAGCCTTTTGTCCGGAAGGGATAAAGTGAGGCTTGCAGATGGATCATTCTCCTCCATTGCAGGCCAAGGATCAATATCTCTTCACCATGGCCTTAATCTGAATTGTGTATTGCATGTCCCTCAACTTCCTATAAATTTGCTTTCAATTAGTAGTATCACAAGCTCTTTAAACTGTGGTGTAACCTTTTTTCCTGGTTCATGTGTTTTTCAGGATCTAACTTCTAGGAGGATGATTGGTAGAGGGAGCCTAGTGGATGGTCTCTACATTCTCGACAACATTGTTGGTCTCTCGGTATCATCCTCAGAGTCACATAGTCAATCAAATAATAGTCAAATTTTTTTGTGGCATAGTCGGTTCATGTGGAAGAGGAGAAGCAGGTTCAGGTCCGCCAAGTCTCTCTTCCTTCTATTCCGGACCTTGCTCCCTTTCGTGTCTTCCAACGTACACATCGTAGAGATCAGCAATGTGATAGAGGTGTGGAGCAGCCAAACATTGAGCAACCAACACTGTTAGACTCCCAGGAGGTAAGTCCAATCCCTGTTGCACCTACTGATACCCCTACTGCTATTGTGGATGACCTTGACATTCCTATTGCTCAAAAAAAGGGTGTCAGGTCATGCACTACCAAACACCCCATTACCCAGTATGTCTCCTATTATCACATTTCCCCCTCATACCGAGCCTTTCTATCCGCAGTTGATTGCATCTCTGTTCCCTGAAATGTTGCAGAAGCCTTAAAATGCCCCGAATGGACAGATGCCATGAAGGAGGAGATTAATGCTCTTCATAAAAATCAAACTTGGGAATTGATGGATCTTCCAAGGGGGAACGACCCCGTGGGGTGTAAGTGGGTGTTTACAGTTAAACACAAGGCAGACGGGACAGTTGAAAGGTACTAAGCAAGATTAGTAGCCAAAGGGTACACTCAAGTGTATGGGGTTGACTATGATGAGACTTTTGCTCCAGTAGCTAAGATGAACTCAATTAGGGTTCTCCTGTCATTAGCTGCTAACCTTGACTGGGAATTGCATTAATTGGACATAAAGAATGCTTTTTTAAATGGTGACCTAGAGGAGGAAGTAGTATACATGGTTCAACCCCCTGGATTTTGGGCCAAGGGAAGGGAAAATAAGGTGTGCAAGCTGAAAAAATCTCTTTATGGTTGAAAACAATCTCCTAGAGCTTGGTTCAATAAATTTCACATGGCAATTCAGCAGGTAGGCTTCAAACAATGTCAGTTTGGTCATACATTCTTTGTGAAGAGATGTCAGGAACAGGTTGTTGTATTGATAGTGTATGTGGATGATCTCATCATTATAGGAAATTGGAGTTCAGAAATACAAAAATTGAAACAATTCCTTGAATCTAAATTTGAAGTGAAAGATTTAGGTCCCCTAAAGTATTTCCTTGTAATTGAAGTTGCCCGCTCAGAATGGGGTATCTTCATTTCTCAAAGGAAATACACCCTTGATCTATTACAAGACACAGGCAAATTAGGTGCAAGGCCAGCATATACTCCCATGGATGTTGACCACAAGTTGGGTGACTGTGATGGTGAACCTCTGAAAGATGTGAAACAATTCCAAAGGTTAGTGGGAAAGCTGATTTATTTGTCCATGACCCGTTCAAACATTGCCTATTCAATTGGGGTTCTAAGCTAATTCATGCACTCTCCTAAGAAACCACACATGGAGGCAACAGAGAGAATTCTTAGATACTTAAAAAAGTATCTTGGAACATGTCTACTATTCAGTAAATATAATCACCTAAAGGTGGAAGTCTTTACAAATGCTGATTGGGCAGGTGTTGTGGATGATAGAAAGTCCATGAGTGGGTATTGCACATTTGTGGGAGGAAACCTAGTGACTTGGAAAAGCAAGAAACAAAGTGTGGTAGCAAGGTCAAGTGCTGAAGCTGAATATAGAGCTATGGCACATGGAGTGGCTGAAGTCCTTTGGCTAAAAAATCTTCTAGGGGAGCTTGGAGTTGTTGTTCATATTCCAATGTCTCTTTATTGTGACAACAAGGCAGCTATAAACATCGCCAGCAACCCTGTCCTACATGAGAGGACCAAGCACATTGAGGTGGATAAACACTTCATAAGGGAAAAATTGGAAAAAAGGGAAATTTGCATCCCTTATGTCAATTCCAAAGAACAACTCGCTGATGTCCTCACAAAAGGGCTTCCATACTCGCGACACAATGAGTTATGTGACAAGCTGGGCATGATAGACATATTCAGCCCAACTTGAGGGGGAGCATTGTGAGGATTATTTAATTGTTATTTTATAGTTGCTGTTAGTGGGTTGTCAGCTTAAGATGCTGTCAGTCAGTTAGTTTCTTTCTTTCTTATTAGTTTGTTTCTAGGGAGTGCCACCAGGGGCATATTTGTAATCTCCCTTTCCTTTTATATTAAGTTAATATAAATAACTAAACTGGCGGCAGCCAAAAGTAGTTGGTTTTTTTGTCTCTCAATCATATCTTCCTCTTCTTCTCTTTCTCTCTCTCGTCTCTCTCTCTCCATGAATGATTACAGGGCAAGTTTATTTGTGTAGTGCTTTTTTGTGAAGTGAAGTGATTATTTGGGGTAGGGCAGTGTCATGTTTTGGAGGGTATGTAGAAGATGTTCGGATGGATTTGTAATTTGTTGAATTGAGCTACAATATGTTGCAATTTAAGGTCTTCTGTCTAAGAAGGGTGGAACTTTTGTTTCCTTTTTCTGAAGATATTTGTAGAAGATTAGAGGAGGGTATCTGGTTTTGTTTTTCTTTAAACTTCTTTTGGGTGATTTCTTATCTCCTAGCATTATCTCCTCTCCTTTATTAAATATATTTTCTTTTTTTATTATCTTCAGAAAAAAAGGGGTTTAGAACTAAACATTCCTGTTTCCTAGAGTAAAGCAAGCACATATTTCAATAAGGTGTCCGTCTCGCCTTGTGCCTTGATTTTTTTTCTTGTGTGTGTGACTTGCACTTTCAAAACATTTTTGGGCTGCTCACAAGCAGGCCAGGCTTGGTTGTGGATTGGTACGATCTTTCTTTTTTTTTTAAGAAAAATTGAAAAAAAAATAACAAGATAGACAACAAATTGAAAATAAAAAATCTTAAAATTTTATTCCATATTAATTTTAGTGTATTCAATTGTTCATATATGAAATAATAAAATGAAATTGGAATAAAATGATATAATAAAAATGAAAATACAATTTACTTACATATACACGTATTATTATATAAATATCATTACATATATTTATTATATATGTATATATACACATGTGTGGGTCGTGCCTGGTTGTGCTGGTCCACAGGAGGCTGGCCCACATTACAGCTCTAGTTTTTTTTCCCATATTGTAATAGAAGAACTGTGGAAAAAAATGCTATTGAGTTAATCTGGAATCAGTTCTTGTCCTTGTGTGGAAGAAGTTGGTTTGCTCCACAGAGTACTATTGAGTTGTTCTCTCATGGTTTTGTGGATTGTAAAACCAAAAGAATGAAGTTGATATGGCATTGCATACGTGAACGGTGTTATGGAGTGTTTGGGGGGGGGGGGGGAAGAAATGTACTGGTTTTGAGAACAAGGAACATGGGATGGAAATCTTAATAGAGATGATCCAAATGAGAGTGGAAAATTGGGTGCTAATATGTGAAAAGTTTGTGGGCATGAAATGGATGACCTCCTTAGAGGCTTGCACATCATTTCTAATGAACCACTTGTTGAAGAGTAACTGTAAACATTTTTTTTTAATAAACCCAGAATATTTCAGCCATTACAAACAACCCATGATTAGGGTAGCGACTACTACCCTACTACTACAAAGTATACAGGTTATAAACAAGCCCAATACAATTGATTTCTAGTGACATCTTGTTTAGTTAGTGTGTCAGTCATCTCGTTTTCTCTTCTTAGCACCCATTGTATCACTAGGTTTATGTTCCTATAAGCCCAAAGTCCCATTACTGCTTTCTCCTTGTTTCCTAACCAGCCACTGATAACATTGAAGTCATGGACGCATTCATGGATTCATTCTGAGGTAGATCCTCCCTAGAGGTTTAGAGCACTTGTAAGTTGTAAGGGAGGCTAAAGCTTTGGGAAGCAGCTTGAACTGTTTGTTCAGGTGAATTCCTAGGTTGGTTAATTCCCTAGCTGATAGCTTGGCAAGATGTGGTGTAACAAGTTGAGGGTGTATTTGGGGATTGCCAGGTCTCAGGGCTCTGCTGTGATTTTTCTTCTCTTTTTTGTATGTTGCTTGGTTCAGCTTTTGGCTGGTTTATATTTGTCCCTGTCTATCTTGCTGGGACAGTTTTGGTTTCTTCAAGGCAATTAACAAATCTCTATGTTATTTATTAAAAAAAGAACCATGAAAAAACAATGAAGTGGAAGACCAAAAAGCATCATCCGAAGTTGTAGAAAATAATTTGAGGACTTACGATTTGATGAAAAACATATCTATTGATAGAGATGGTGGGACGGTATTCATGCATCTGACCCCGAACAGTTGGGGTTTAGTCTGTAATTAACTCAACATATTTTAATTAATGAAATAATCTTTATTGCTGATAACAAAAGGTTGGGATTAAGGCCAAGGGGTGTGTATGTGTGTGTTCTGGTAACCTTTTTTTTGTGGTAATCCCTATCAATGAATTAAGGATGGACTAAAGATGTACTAAATTTACTCTTATATCCATCATGAATAAAAGTTATTATCTAAATCTAAATCAATTGATCATGATCTTGTGAAGATGAAACATATTTTGTAGGGAATCATTTGAAGAACAATGTGATATTGACACAAACCAACCAATAGCATGGATGTCAGCTTGCTCAACTGAGCTAAGTTATTCTCATCTTAGTTAGGAGTGGAACATTCTGATAGTGCTTTGTTATTTGAATGGGCTTTTTGCTTTTTTTTTGCTGCAAAGCCCTGTCTCTTGTACATTCTCATGTACATCTCTATGTTTTTGGTTGAATGAAATTGTTACCTTCTCTCAAAAGTAAAAAAGGTAGATGAATTGTTATGTCATGATAAATTACTTCTAATATTGGAATTGCCTTAATAAAAAAATTCAGTGTCCTGTATCCCCTTTGCCATGTGGTGATTCCTAATAGCATGTTAATTTTTTATTTGTTAGCTGTCCTATCACCCCCCTCATTTCCTAATTGAAAGATTCTCATTGCATAACCTAACATAGTGGTCATCAACTTTTTTGGTAGGTAGGTACATAACGGTTGCTAATTGGGAATGAGTATTTTTCTGGTTTGTTTAAGTATATTGAATTGTTGATGAGTTGGTATGTCCATGAATAATATCTTTCAGAGTTTGATCTGACAATCTATATGTGTATCAGCTTCGACCCTGTGCATGCCATATAGGTGTCTGTTAAATTTTTTAAAATGGAAAAACTAGAAGGATAGGATCAGAAATGAAGTGATTCATGGGAATCTAGGAGTAGAATAGGTGATAAAATGAGATAAGTAGGCTAAGAATAAGATGGTTTAGTCACATGCATAGAATATCATCATCAGCACCTGTACGAAGAAGTGATTTATTGCAAGTTGATGAGGCTAGATGAGCTATGGGTAGACCAAAAAGGATATGGGTAGAACTAGTGAGAGATGATTTTGGTGCAACTAATTTAACAATGGATATGACATTAAACATGACAGATTGGTGAAACAGGTTTCATGTAGCCAACCTTGGGATTGGGCTTGGAGCCTTGGATGATGATGATGGTGATCATAACCATTTGCACCCATATAGCTACATCAATCCTGGTTTTCCTTCCTACAGTGTATTGCTTGACTATACATCTGGATTAAAGTTCATCGCATGGTTCCTTTCTATGCAACTGTACAATGATCAGAACTACCATTTATGGATTGTGCAGTTTTGTAACGGAAGGATTTTATGTTTTTGTTGTTCAATTTGAGTTTAAATTAGTTGCATCCAATGCAGGTACATCAAATTGCACGAAACTTCCGAGATAGATGGATTCCTCGTTCCTTGAGGAGAGTTAGCTATACAGACAGGGATGACAGCAAATTAGAATTACAAAGTGGCTCAAATTCCATTTGGCTTTCTTCATCACATAAACGCTGGAATGATCAAGGTGTAAGACCCACAGAAGCAATCAATTGTGTCGCTCAAACAATGCTTTCTACAACTTCATTTGATGCTGATGGCCAAGTGGACAGATTTGTTTCATATGTCAGCAATGCTTGCCCACCAAATGGGAGAACAACACGTAAGCGTAAAAGTCGCTGGGATCAGCCTACAGAGACAAGCCTGGATCTGAAGCCACCTCATTCAATTGAAGAACAAAAAGTAGAACTGAATTTAAAACAGAAACTTGAACCTAGTTCACTGAAGGCTCAGAGTTGTGAGGTTGTGCAAGATCAAACAATGGATGTTGACAAAGATGAGGGGAATCTCCAAGGTTGTGATCTTGTTGGGCAAGATGAAGCTTCTACAACTGCTGATACCAGTCACATCCAAGAAGATGCACCTCCTGGATTTGCTTCTGTTAAGAGCCCTCCAGTTCGATCCAATGCTTTTGCAGCCACTACTGCTAACCTTTTGTCAGATGTTGATCATTCAGGTTTTTCTTGTGAAGTGATAATGGGGACTGCACAGAGAAGGTATCTTTCTCATTTGCCTGTGTCGTATGGAATTCCGTTGTCTTTTGTGAAGCAGTTGGGGACACTACAGGCAGAATCTGTGGACTGTTGGAAAATAGCACCAGGCATTCCTTTTCATCCTTTTCCACCATTACCTCCATTTCCACGGGCCAGAGGCAACTCTTTGTCCCCTGCATCTATTGCCAACCCAATGACAAGGAACGCACATGAAGAAGAATTCAAACTGAGCAGTCATCATGGTCACCACTTAGATCCAAGCATTCCAAGCACATCAGGGGAAAGACCACCAGATGTGGCAGTTAGTGGGGCAAACAACCAGGAGATGATTAAGCAAGTAAGATGTTCATCAAATGGTTTGGGAAAGAGGTATTTCAGGCAGCAAAAGTTGAATAAACATGGCCCTCCAAGGCTCTGGAAAAAGATTCCTTGGGGAGTTAAGGGCAACAACTCAAGAAATGGGGTACACAGTGTAGCTGTAGGACATGTAGCAAATGAGTTCAGGGGTGTGGGTTCAGATGGTGTAAATGGTGGTGGTGATAATTATGGCTCTGCTTTTTCTCAACATTCACAACGTCCATATCAGCATTGATTTAAACAACTGGTGTGAGGAGCCACCGGTTTTTCCCTTATTTCTTATCCATGTATTTCTAATTCTTTTGTTATACAGGTTTCATGATTGATGAAGGTTTATTATTTGATTCCAGTCCATGATGATTCAACTTCCATCTAACAGCTGATTCCTAAAGTTACTGAGTTGATCCTACCATGGTATTTGATCCATCCACCAACCACCTCAAAGAGGCAGGTATTCTTTTGATGTATGTTACTTTAAGAAAACAAAAGATACCTCAGGTGATAGAAGTTGTTTGAAGTGAAACGTTATCTTCATTCATCAAAAAAAGTAAAACGTTATCTTCATTTTTCAAACTCTTTTCGGGATTATTTTCTTTCTCCTTTTGTTTAATTAGTGGCACAAAATAGGCTTCGTCATCCTTACCTTTGAATTGTTCAATGCCTGATGCCGGTATAGTAGTGAACTAGCTAATTTGACTTGTTGCTGTACATAATCTGTATAAATCAAGAAGTTTTCTTTTATTCCATTTTTCTTGTTAAATTCCAAGATTTGCCTGATGAGGGGTGTATGGAAATTTGTGTGACAATGTATATTCAACTTTTATGTTTTCCTTACCATTTTAGGTTGATCAAATGCAAAGTTCTTCAACGATGTCAACCTGGTTCAGGCACATGCAATATCTATTGTTCTGGAACTTAGGTGCTATTTAATGAACTTGGAAGTCCCAAAAAAATTCATGGGCTTTCACATTTGAAATCTGAACCTCTATCAGATATCATAGTGATTTCAATATAGTTGGAGTTGAGGTTATTTGGGGTTCAAGGAAGTGAAGTTGTTTCGTAATTTTTATTTTTATTGAGTGATGAAATAACTAAGGTTAAAATGAGTTTATTATGGTATGCATGCCTCGTAAGTGGCCATATCTTAGAGTAATGAGAAAACCCTAAGCTGATTAGTGTTAGAACATGGGATTTGAGTCTGAGGGTGGTGGAAAATGCCATGGTTTGGTCTGTATTTTGATCACCCATCCCAAGAACATGGATAAGCCAGGACCAACATTGATCAGGTAATGGCACTTTATGGTTGTGCGGTCGTGCCTCATAATTTAGAAGTATTATATAAGTATGGTAAACTATTCTCTTATTCTCATAGCTATTCGTATTAGAAAATTTTGAGTGATGTTTGGCATTGATGAGAAAATGGTGCCACATAGGTGAGAAAGCGATGCTTCAAACAATGCCCTCTTGTTTGGTATTGTTTTTCTAGAAAAAAATGTTGTTTTAGACTATATTTTAGAAATCGGGAAAGTGTGGTCTGGAGCAATGCCAAATTCAGTGTTTTTTTGAAAAAAACAGTGTGTTGCTGCCAGCAGTGCAATGATGTGGCATTATCTTGGACGGTGGATAATATAGATCAATGTTGAAAATGTTGCTGCCAACACTATTACCAAACAAAAATAGTGTTGTTTTCTCAGAAAATGCCTATGTGGCAGCACTGGTTTCAAACAAAATGGTGCTTATAATTCCACATGCCCAACATCGTTTTTATGAGAAAATGGTGCAATGTTCCCAGCACCAATGCCAAATATGAAACACCTACCTGAATTCTAAGGCTGCTTGAATTAATTCTTGTCGTTACTAGAGAAACTGTTTTAGAATGTGATCAGCTAAACATTGTTTTAGCTTATCATCATTATCTAAACTTTTAGCGATCCCAATAGATCATTAGTATCCAACCTTTGTCCTATCCATATTGTATCAGCTACATTAATGTTCAGTGCCATTATCCATTTAGGTGCTTAAAGCATTTGTTATTACTTCCATAGGGGTTACTTTTCTGCCATGTCTCTAGTTCTTCTATCCCCTTCAACTTGTAACAAGTCACATTTTCCAACTAGTACTTTAGATGGTCTTCTATGTATTTGATTAAATCATTTCAATCTATTTTTTCTCATTTTATCACATATTGGAGTTATTCTTAGGTTTATTCATGTCTAAATGTGCCCTTCCTGCTGATACCATTCACCCATCCATGTATTTGCATTTTCATCACTCAGTGTTTGGTCATGTGAATCTTAGTTGCTCAGTATTCTGCTCCACAGTATCATGTACCCTTCTATTTTGCCCATCTTGCTCTAAATCTATGGGCGACATCAAGGTTCAAAGTATTGGAAATAGTATGCATATCGGAAGGGCAAGGCATATCGGGATATGCCTTGGATACGCATGGATATGGACGAAAAATTAAGATACGCATGAAAACACATAGAAATGCTATAAATACTCTAATAAATCATAAATAAACATCAATATCACTAAATATAAGACTTAAATGAGCTATTTATACATAAAAATCATGTGTTTTATTGGGTTTTTATAAAAAAAATTATATTGTAATCAACAAACGGGAACAAAAGCATATTATTTAATAAAATACTTAATTCAGTTTCAATCTTCCGAATTCCAACTTCAAATTTTAAATCTATTATAATTTACAAATTCAACATTTAAATCCCATTATGATGTTTAAAAGTTAAAACTTTACATGAAGTCATGAATCACATAAAAGTTCAATTATTATATAAATTATCCAATTTTAAGTGTTAATGTTTTAGTAAATTAATTTTCAATTATTATTATGAAAATTTGTATTTTTTTAAATATTTTTTTCAATTATTATTTAATAAAAATATCCAATTAAAAAATAATAATTGTTTTCATATTTTTTAGGCTACAATTATATTCACATTCAAATTCTAGATTATCATGTGAAATATATCAATGCCTTTTATTTTGTATTTTTTAAATATTTTTAAATATTACTAAAAAATATTTTTAATTGTTTTAAATATTTTTCCAAGTGATATCTAATCCACTTAGGCAATTAACATTTATTGAATCAAATAATTATGCAAAATTTGTAATTATTGAATCAAACATTTTTCTGTATTTTTTAAATAATTATTTATTTTTATTCAAATAATTATTTTGCATGTTTTATTTTAAAAATTAAACAAATATTTTTTTGAATGACTTCATGGACATCTATTATTTTTATTCTAAAAATAATAAATTTTTTGGATGTTATATTCTAAAAACTAAATATTTTTTTATTCAAATAATTATTTTGCATGTTTTATTCTAAAAATTAAACAAATATTTTTTTTGAATGACTTCGTGGACATCTATTATTTTTATTCTAAAAATAATAATTGTTTTGCATGTTTTATTCTAAAAAATAAATAAATATTTATTTTTATTCAAATAATTATTTTTCATGTTCTATTCTAAAAATTAAATTAAAATTAAAAAAAAAGTAAATGTGTAACGGGAAATTTGAATGAATTTATGGACATAATAGATGAAATACTTATTTTGCATATTTCATTCTAAAAACTAAATAATTATTTATTTTTATTGAAAGAATTATTTTGCATGTTTTAATCTAAAAATTAAACTAAAATTTTAAAAGTAAATATGTAACAGAAAAATTGAATGGGTTTATGAACATAATAGATCATCCATATATTTATTGTAAATATTTATTATTAGAATTTTATCATAGCAAAGAATTTGAGAAATAAATAAATATTTATAATCTAAAAATAAAAATTAAAAAAAAATAATTTTTTCATATGATATTTCAATATATTGATGTCATTCTTAGATCTACAACATACTCAACCTATAAGGTTAGATCACAAAAAAAATGAAGAAATTATCTATATATTATATATTATTCTAAAAATAAAAAAAAATAAAAAAATATTTATTTAGGAGAAATTTAAATTGATCTATAGACATGATAGATCATCCATAAATATACAACATAATCAATATTTAGAGGTAGATCACAAAAAAAAAAACCCTAAAATTTTCATTTCTTTCAGATTTTTAATATTCTAGAAAATTTTCAAATATTCACAAAGATCCACATATAGGAGCAAAATAAATGGGATTTTTTGCACAAGAATAACATATCAACATACACAAAGATGTTTCTAAGCATCCAAATTAAAAAAAAAGCACAAAAACATTGGCTGAGATAGTAAAAAAATTGAAAAAACATACATATTTTCGCTCATTTTTAACAATCTAGAAAAACTTGTTGGGTCTTGGAAATTTGTGGATGTTTTGGTGGGTTTTGGTTAGATTTCATTTTCCAAGAATAGTATGAAGGTTTATAGAGGGTTTTGGGAAGAAAGAAGGCTTCTAAAATGGGTTTAGAAGCCTTCTTTCGAATGAAGTTTTTTTTTATGTTTTCCGCAACAATAAAATTGCACTGTATTGGCTGATACGCTACTGTATCGGCCAGCATATTGGCCGATACAGCACCGAAATAGGTTGATACTCACCGAAACATTTCAATACAGGCACGATACGTTTCCAGAACATCGAAAAGGAATGGTACTAAAGATTTGATACCATTCCCCATGCCGAAACCTCAAAGATACAATAAGTATTGGCCGATACGTAACGAAATTTTGAACCTTAGGCAACATCCTCCTCAGCATCACCTTCGTCATGAATTATTAAACCGAGGTAATGGGAGATGTCACATTGAGCCACCTCCTGGTCTCTAATCCTAAGATCTTAGTAGAATGAATCTTAATACTACCATTTTCTCATTGTAAGACAGAAAGAATCCGATCTTAATACTACTTTATTAAGGATAAGATTTAGGTGGGGTGGGGGGTTCAATACCATTTTCTCATTGTACGACAGAGAATCCAGGTTTAAAATGTAATGGAATAGGTTATATAATTTATTTGGTGAGGGTTTTATTCATAGCTGTCAAGGCGCCTATGACTGTATAAAAGGGTTCCAGTATAGGTGAGACCTTAATCTTTCAAGGCGCCTCTGGCATCTTATCGAAGCAGAGTGGTCTCTAGCATCTTCTTCTTCAATTGTAACTCTCACTATTTGCTAGTAATTTTGACATGAAAGTACTCTGTTAAATACTTACTAGGCTCTAGTTTTGTGTTTGAGATATTAAAATTAATTAATTTAAACTGTTATCGTCTTTTAGATATTTTGATTCTGTTTTTTTGAGAGGAAAAGTAATGTTAAAAAGCATTGTGATTCTTTTTTTCAATTTGTGTGTAAGCTACTTGGTATGTAAAAATAGGGAACCATCCTAGGATTTGGTCAAGGATGTATTTCTAAAATAGTCATGAATATAGTCAATGGTACTTCATTTCTACAAGAGAACCTATTGAAAACAATGAATATGTTGGCCATCTTGAGGAAGAGTGCAAATGCCGATTCAGTGCATACATACATTCTGTTTCTGTTTTACAGGTGTTTGACAAGAATACATTTATATATTGAAAATGACAGCAAAAACATATTCTAATACATGTTTGCATTCAAATCAAGAGCAAAGTTTGCATCCAAAAATTGGATGCAGACTTTTGCACTCAAAAATGATCAATGGAAAAAAAGGTGGATTCCAATCTTGTGATTCGTGTTTGTATCTATCACAATTAAAAATCATTTGACAGGCTTACAATATTTTCATTACAAAACTAAATCAACTTTGCATTTTGTAAATCAGACATATTTGCATTTCTACTGAACATTTTTGTATTTATACTCTTCTCAATCGGAG